AGAGAGCTATGCAGCAAACACCTACACCCATCACAAATACTCTTCTTCCACTTCAAGGACTGGGCTGTAAATCCAGAACGTGACTGAATCCACAGCACTAATAGGAATCTAGTCCTCGTCTTCCAAACACAGGGCTCCCATTTTCCCATTATTATAAACTGCTGCAACACAACAGGAAAAGGCTAACACAAAGCTCTACAAATCACAGAAAATTGTATTATTTGAGGTCAAGAAGTGCTGCTTGTCTATGAGAAACTTTATCAGAGCACCCGAACCCACATCTCAAGTAAAATCTGACCACATTGCATATTAACATCTGTGAGAATCACACACACTTATCGCAGTATATGAAGCTGAATAGCAAGCGACCCTTCAGCCTTGTGAATGCTGTATTTAGTGGTAACATGAAGAAAGAAAAAAATCAGAGGAAAACTGCATTTCTAAGAAACAGCCCTCACTGTTAGCAAAAGTTTACCCGAACTCTTTGGTTCAACTATTTTTAATAACTGGATGATCCTCTTTCCCCATTAAAAAGCAAATTAGAGAATATCTCCTTGACAGCTATACAACAGGCTTTACCGGGAATAGAAATCTGTGGGTGTATAAACAGAAAAGTTTTGAGGATTTAGTCTTTTTGCTGATTTTAGTGCACTAACCAAGATTTCAGCTTTTAGAACGGCTACCATCACTCCAGCCTCACATGGCTTTATTCAAAGTAGCCTCCATTTGTCATCTGGTTTTCACTTAATAGCATTAGCAAAGGCTGAAGCACTGAAAATATTTTCAGAAGCGTATTTCAACTTTGGTTCCAGTTAGGTATGCTGAATGGTGTTATTTTACCCTGTCATTTATCGTTACCATGGTAAGACTAATGCATTTCAATCTTGTTTTCTAGTTACACTACTATCAGCTCCTTTTCCAAACCAGACCCTGCTTATCTGTGAAAAGCTACCAACACACCCGATGAAGGAAACTGATAAGGGGCTCAAGTCAGGAACACCATCTGACATGACGCAGCAAGGAAGCCATGCTTATACTTGGAATCTCAGGATTTGTCACTCATTCTTTACCTGGAGCCGAGCAGGAATTCTGCCATTTCCTGGAACCCTTTCCATGACCATACAAGATGTCACTGATTTTTCATCTTACAGGGAGCTTTTCTAGCATCTTCTTGTCCAGGGGCAGTTCTGACTTGGCAGCCACGCACAGCTGCAAACTCAACCATCAAGCTGCTGTCCTCCAATACTCTTCCTAGAAGGAGAGTAATTTGCTCTTATGTTTGTCCCTTCTTATTTCAGTAAAGTGAGTTAGCTCTGTAAGTATTCGAGATTTATCCCCTGTCAAGGACACTCCAGAAGCATTTCAATACTCAGTGAAGGATACTGTCATTTACTGTACCTTAAAAGTCTTGTGAAAATTCTTGTGAGTACAGTTACTAAAAGTGACATGATTAGACAACCTGTACTCAAGATCATTCCTAGCAGAACACAACCCTCATTAGTGAAGCAGGTAAAACAACCCATATAAATTCAATTACAGCAAAAAAGATCAGAATGTTCAATGTTTTTACTGAACGGCTTTCCAAGGTTGAAAACAATGCTTTCTTGTGACATTTTAAAGCCAAATGGCTCTGTACTCTTAACATTTAGAGCAAGAAAGACTTAAAATATTTACCTTCGAATGAGAAGCTAAAAATGCACTTCCAGGGCTTTTAAAGAACAAACTAATAATTACAGCTAACTAGCCTAATGTGGGTGGGAGAGTATCAACTATCTGGGGTAAAAAAGTAAGAATAGTATCACTTCATCAGAGAAGTCAGGACAGAAAACAAGTAAACCTCCCTCACAAATACATTAATATCCTATATTAAGAACAAAAGTGAGAGCAATTCATTAATTACTCCTCACTTCATCTTGACCATTAGACCAGACTTATTACCAGCAAAGCTCTCTTGATCTCTTCCAGCAGCGCAATGCTAAGGCGTATTATAAACCACAAATACCTACTTGATTGTAGTTTCTCACTGATTTGAAATATTCCATCAAGTACCTCCTAACACCTGAGTTTGTTATTTTACTAGCAAGATCACCTAAAGTTAACTGTTATAAAAAATAAGCATACAGTTTAACGACAGCTCTAATGAAAGACCATACTGCTCTAAAAATTAAAGCCTGCATAAGGATTTGGACAACTTTGTGAGTAAGCTGATTATTAAAGCAGATTTTGCAGTGTTTTCATGCTTGAGTATGGTTTTAATTTACATGCAAAAAAAGGCTGAAACTCTTAAGAGCTGTGGTACAGGCGCAAGTTTGTGTAACTAACATTATGCAGTTGTTCTACCAGAACTGCACTGAAAAAGTCTTTCTTGTTTGCTCCAAATGTATATAGGGTGATAATCCTTACCCATACTTTAGATTACTTTTTCCCCTTCTATTTAGCACAATGCAAATCTCCACCTTGGAGGTTCAGGTCACTTACCCCAGCCAGACCTTAATGATTTCAGGGAAAGAATACGTCAAGTACATTTTAAACAACCGAGGAGAATCATGTTTGCACAGTAATTTACACAATTTACCACTCAAAATTGCAGTGGTTGCTAAAATGCATTATCTTTTTGCCCTTTTTGGAAAAGTAGATATAAAAATGACAGACTGCCACAAAGGCCAATCATTACTCTGTCTGGCAAAGATGTTTGTAACAAACATTTATTAAGCAACAAAAAAGCACCAGCACAGGTTACTAACATTGGTAATTATTTTAAATATCAAAAGACAATCATTGCCTCAAGGCATCCAAAATCCCAGCTGGAATGTCAATAGAGGAAAAGCATTACTTTCAGAGTTCTGGCAGCTGATGCAACCTCAGGTAACACCTTTCGCTGCATGAACCATCTCTCAGAAGATCTTGTCAGGAAACATTTGGAAGCCTGATTTATGAACACTCATCTCCTCCAAACGTGTAATACTGAAACAAGCTAGGTAAGAACAGAACACACGGACACAGTACATCACACTACTTTTGAAACTTTAAACAAGAGAAATAATTCAAAATTATTCAATCTCTTCCCACGATGATCTTGTTCCATGTTTCTGATATTAATAACTTCAGCTAGTTACACTAGGGGATATGAAATAATAATTGTAATTAATACCTGCAGCTGAGCATGTATTAATATGTCATCAAGCATATGACATACAGAACCTGGGATCTATAAATCACACTAGTAGAGTTTTAAGAAAATCCTGATCTAAATTTATGAAAGGAAGCCTTTAAATAATTTAAATCAGGGAAGTTTAAATTGGTAACAGGCAAAAACCTCCACAGATCAGAGGAAAAACCTTATTTACTTTTACTTATTCAAGCTCAATAATCCCATAATGTCTCTATAGGATTTCTCATTCTGAGTAATTTCTAGAGTAGCACTATTGCTCCTCTGCCTGCCCTTTTGCTATCAAAGCCATTACACAAGCAACATCTTACAAGGAAAGGGTGCAATACACCCAAAAGACATTTCTTCACTATTTGTCTCAGCAACATCTCAGATTCCAACCCAGATGATCCTATGACTTCATGCCAAATGGAAAGAAGTTAAATCCCTGACCCAGCTCTTCAAGCCTGAGTCCAGATGAGGTGCTTTGCCCTGCCATATGTGAAATGAGGCTGTCTCAGGCTAGCTTCCTTCCCTGAATGATGATGAATTTCCTTGATGCCCAGAAGAAAAATTGTCACCGGCTACTCTATAGCCTTTTGCCTTACAATCAGCCGACAGTTCTAGCCTGGTGCTGAGCCCTGCAACCGAAGGAATGATGCTGAAGACATCCCCTGCAACTTTTGAGTTTTTAAGAAACTCCCAAGCCAGTATTGCCAACCCAAAGCCCTAACAATACCAGACAATAAGCCCTTCCACAGACTGTCTGAAACACCAAAACCCAACCCTCTCTGCACACCTAAAAAGCCACCATATGTTACAAGTTGAGAGCCAAATCCCAATGGTAGCATTAACGCAAGCAGCTCATCAAAGCTAAATCCGTGATAGCCCGAAACCCATACAAATCTCAAGACTTTTTCAAAACCTGCTTCTACAGACTCTTCTGTGTCTTACTTCCAGAGCCCCACAACTACCCACCAAAAGCACAGACCCCATGTGCATGCGTGGAAGGGAAGAGAAAAAGCCAGGGGTTTTAAAACACTTTCCTATGAAAATGATACTAAATTAAGCATCTCCTTAAGAGCTGCAGGGGAGGAGAAGGAGCGGCAACCGGCTGGTCCCAACACTGCACCAGGGAGCGCAGAAGCGATCAGAGAGCAGGGAACAGCTCGGAAACACGCGGGCTGAGGGAAAAGTTGGGGCTGAAGAGCAGAGCCGCCCGGGGACGAGGCGGAGACGAGCCCCGGTAAGACAAAGCGCTTCGGCAAGCCCCTCCATTTTGGTCCCCCGACCCCACCGGGCGGGCAGGACGCGGTGCATCAGCGGCAGCTGAGGACGGACCACGGAGGCGCCTCACAGGCGGGGTCCTGGAGACCGGCCCAGCCACCACCCACCCCACGGCCACCCGCCCTATGCCTTCCCGGACCCTCACCCTCCAGCAGCCGTTGGATGATGCTGTCGATGTTGAGCTTGTCTATATCCGCCATCGCCTCTCAGCGGCCGGGCGGACCCCTCCCCGCGGCTCCCCTCCCTCCGCTCGCTGCTTGGCCGGCCCGACTTCTCTCCTTGTTCTCTCTTTCTCCTTCCCGCTCTCCTTATTCCCTCACAACCTCGTTTCCCCCCCGCCCCCCCCACAACCGCCGGTTTCAGTAGAGACCCAGTTCTGAACAAAATGGCGGCCGCCTCCTCAGCGAGCTCGGCCGGCGCATGGATACTACGCGCGCGACGCGGCTCACCGGAAACCCTTTATAGGCCGGGCGGGAAGAGGGGGGCGGGGTCACGTATCGTGACGCGTCCCGCCCTCACGGAATCCTTCCGCTCACGGGATGTGAAATAGTGCAGCGCTGCCGTGTGCAGGTGTTCGGGCTCTTACGGGGTTTGGTGCATCGGGACCCGGCTATGGAGTGGATAGGGAGGCCCTTTGGTGCCAGCCGGTGGCGGCTGGGCTTCTGTGAGCGCTGTCTCCCCATTGTGTCTGCTCCAGGGTAACGTTTCCTCAACTCATGTGGCAGTGGCTTGGTGTGAGGGGTGCGCTCCCTTCAGAGGAGCAACCACTTCCTTAGCCCTAAACCGGGATAAACAGCACCAAAATCATGCTTGCAACTGCTGTGCCCCGCATGGGAGCTTCCGTGGCTTGAGCAAGTTCAGATATGTGGCTTTTGCTCTGCAGATACTTGGAGTAACAAACATACAGAGCATTGAAATCCCTATGGATGGAGAAATTAGCCCACTCTTTCAAGAGCATCTTGCAATTTTACTTCACGCTTTGCTATTTTATTCTATGTGTAGCTACAGCTTAGGACAGGCACTTACAATGAAGTTCTGCTCATAAACGGGATTGCATTGACAAGGGAGATGGGCTGTGCGGGCCTTCCCTGCTGTTTGGCTTGCCTCTGGTTGAATATCGTTTAATTGCTTTCTTTACTCCTTTAATTTGCCGGGGCTTGGCTGGGTCAGCCTCCTCCCTTCCCTGCGTCGATTCCAGCTGCTATCCAATATCCATACCAGTTATTGGCGTGGTGGGGCCAGAGCAGAGATTGAGTTCAGGAGGGGTGATAAAGTGAAGGCCTCGCCGTCTCAGCGCGGGAGGAAGGCGATAAGAGGACACCGATTTTACCTGAAACCCAGCTTCAACGCTCGCCTCCCCTTATCACGACGAGCACGCCCAAGCCAATATGCTAATCTCAGTCACACTGGGGTAAGCCCGAAGTAACCCTGTTGAAGACAATAGAGTTACTTCAGATTTACTTCAACGTGACAGCCTTGGCAGATTTACATCTATTTTTGTGCTGCACCTTCCTGGGGAGTTCCCCCCCCCCCCAGCTCTTTCGCACCAAATGCTTGCTTTCTCCTTCAAATCCTCTCTAATTCTGCAGGGCAAGTTGTTCTCTTGGGCTTAGCTGCATTATTTAGAAAGGGAAATGTGTCCTGTGTTTCCAGAGGAACCACCTTGGCCTTTCTGGAAGGATCTTCGTCTTATCCTTCAGCTGTTATCCCTTCTCCAGGGACAGGTTTAGTGGGGTGCTGAGTCCTTTTCACTCCTGTTAATGCTCTGGGAAATGGGGCGGAAGTGAGGGCTTAGCATCTTCCAGGGTGCAAAATGGGAATTCAATTTCCAGTGAATTCCCAAGTACATCCCTGCTTCTAGAAAGAAGGGTCTGGCTCTTCCAACAACACTGTTGAGGGCAGAGAATATCTCACTCGCTGAACCATATCAAGGTCCAAAGCACCGTCAATTCTTGTTAAAGGAGGCGCAGCCATGAGGGAAGGGGAGAAGTGACAGATAAAGGCAAATCTGTCAAGGCCCCATCATCACCTCCATCACCACCGTGCTTCCACAGTGACAGCCAGTACTTGGTGTCCTGGTTGGAGGAGGCTGTGGTTTTCTGCACAAAGTCTGTCACATGTAGGCTTTTGCTGAGTGGGTATAAAAAATAAGGACTCTACAGCAGCAACCTCTGTGATGAGCCAGAAATATTAAAATGCCACCCCAAAATTATCTTTTAATAACCTGTATTTTCTCTGCTGGAAATAACAAACCTCGCCTCGCACCAGCTTCTCTGATTAGAAAGGGGACCCAGCCAAGGTGTTATAAATATAGACTCATAGACTCATAGTACCAGATTGGAAAGGACCTCAAGATTCATCTGGTCCAACCTTTCTTGGCAAAATCACAGTCGACACGATGTTCCAGTACCCTGTACAGCTGAATATTTAAAGTGTTCAACGCTGGGGACTCCATCACTTCCCTGGGGAGATTATTCCAATGGTTGATTGTTCTCACTGTGGATAATTTTATTCCTCATGTAATTGATAATAAAAGTCCCAAACAAGTAACTGAAGCCACAATCTGAGGCTGATTTGGTAAAACATAACAATATGGATTGAATCCACTATGTTTTAATGTGAATTCCCAGGCCAATGTGCAAGACTATTTTGTTCTCCGGTGTTGCTCATAACAATGAGTTATTTCTAGAGGGGGAACAATCAGGGAAATCCCTTTGTCCTTAAACCCTGTACACAGCTTAAAGCATTCTGTAATCTTGAAGCTGTGCTTCCTATATTCCCCCCCCCTTTCTTTTTATTTGTCTACAATTTGCATTCCACTTTGCTACATACAGGATGATGTACGGTTTATCTCACTCGCAGCTCTGAGACCTTTGTGTCTTTTCCTCCTTCCCCTCCCTGAAATTCCACAAATAAATCACTGCTTTGGTAACGTTCCTTGGAAACCTCCATGTAAAATATCTTTCCCCACTGATTTGTCCTCCCTATCTCATGTGCATGCCACTTGGTTTATTGTATGGCTGTTCATAATCTATGTTTAAAGATACCCACCTACATACATTATCGTTTTGTACATATATATGCATAATATATACTCACATACATAAACCATGTGTATAAAATAATATGTATGTACACTATATACACATGTATTTGTATATATGCAGATAATAATAAACCCCCTTATTTTATCCCTGTATGTAGGTGGATCCTAAGAAATGCGAGTCACCCACACTTCCCCTTCTCTTAGATTACATATTTGCTAAGTCCATGAAATCCAATGTGTTTGTGTACATTTCAAACAAAGATCTACACAGCCTGTTCAAGCATAGCAAAAACAAGAGCGGGTGACTTGTGGGTCAAATGTTATTTTTCCTAGCTCAATACACAGCCACGATTTCAATGTTTTCATAACTCTTACTGTTTGCATCCAGATTTTCCTTGTGTTACAATCAAGATAAAGGGTTCTTTTTCCATCCTTCTTGCTTCTGATGTGTAAAATGTTTTGCTGACCCTCAGATTACAGATGCTGCAGAGATTTGGGGTAGACAGTGCTGATTTGTCAGACAAAAGAAGAGCAGCTGGAACATGCCATGAGGTCGATGTGGAGATGGAGGGGTCTGTGTCCTGCTTGGAAGGGAGCTGATGACGCACAGGCAGGTGTTTTCTTAGTGTCATATTTTATTTACAAAACATGCAGAGCAGTGATCTCCCTCCAGCATCAAACCCTGCAAACTGCAGGCAGGCGGCTGCTCCATGTGGGATGTGGTGAGGAGCTCGGTGCTGGTTGCTGCTCCTGAGCCTCTGGCTTCACCTCAAACCATGTACAGAAGCCAAACGAAGCCTTATCCCAGATAGCCAGCAGCAGGATTCCCTTTGGAGACACTCTTCTCACTGGTGTATCTGCACACCTTGATTTCCACGCAAACCATTTCGCAGTCTCAGGAGCTGGTGTCTGTCTACAATCTCTCGCCAACAGAAGCTGTCAACAGCACTGACGAGTCCATCTCAAGTTTGTTCAAATCACATTTTTGATAAAAGATGTGAAAAGATTTTGCTCAGAAAATTTCGAGACAGGCTGTTTTGATGTGATTTGTGGGAAATGTGATTTGCCATTCCTCCCTTTCTACTACTTCCTTTGGGTTTTTTTTTAAAGATGTACTTCATGGGTTTCTGATGAAAGGTGGTTTTGAATGAAAACATGGTCTATTGGGGAGTTTTGGAAGGTTCATACTGACAAAAATACTACCAATAAAAGTCATAAGTCACTTTTTTTTTTCTAATACAGAAGTGGCCACAGTAGGATTTTTCCTGCTGTAACCATTTGGATTAAGAAAACAGAGCACATTCCACCCCCTTGGTGGATTTCTTATTTCTTATACTAATCCAACTTTTAAAGCTAGACCAGGTACATGAGACATTTTGATGTGTCCTATCCACACAGGAGCATCCATTGCCACTTAGAAAGAGAGGATAAATGGTGCTAAAGTAAGCTTTGTCCTACTTTAGGTGGAGAACAGCCGTGGTGAATCATCAAAGCAGTTGATGCTGCTTTGGGAAGAAGAGGAGCTCCCGTCTTCTTGTCTTTGGTCAAGAGTCAATCCACTCCAGCAACGTTCAGCTGAGCTGTTCATGGATAGGGAAAGGGGAAAACTGCATTTTAAGCCCTTCCTCAGCTGATTTACGGTGGGGAGAGGCTGTGCGAGGGGAGAGGCGCTGGGGAGCAGGGTGGCTTTCACCTTTGTCTGCCTGGATGTGGTTACAGAGGGATGTGGGTTGTTCCATGGTGTGGAGCACACCTGACAAGAAGAGACAACTGTTTCTCGGAAAGATTAAGTGGGACTTTTTGTGTTGCTTCAGCTTCACGTGGCTTGAAGAAAGCACTGTGTGGGTGTTCCTCATTGCATTGGCCAGAAAAGCACATTAGCAGCCTGGGACACGGGTGCCTTTGCTTCCTCTGATTTTACCCCAGCATGACTCTGCTTCGTGGATGAGCTGTTTCTCTAATTAAAACAGATGAAAAAGGAGGACCAGGAGAGTTGTCAGGGGAGTTGGAATGTGGAAATAAGATGAAAGTCTGTTGATTTGCTGTTGGTCAAAGGGCTGGTGTGTTTTGCAGACCCCAGTGGGAGACACATCACTTAACACAAGATGCAGGAGCAAGAAAGAGATCTTCCACACAGCCTGGGGTTCCCTAATTCCACTGGGGATTCTGAAATGCAGATTAAATACATGGGAAATCCCAACTGCAAGTGTCTGCAGGCTTCCCAAAGTCTGGGACATGCAACAAATGATCAGAGGGCAGTGGCTTTGTTGGTTCATGTTTTGTTTTTCCTTTACACTCCGAAAAATCGAGAACAATCCCACTGCTGGTTCTTGGACACTTGGAGTTTCTGCTCACAGGCAGCATTTGAAAGCATGGTCCACTGTGGAGGTAGCTGCCACGTGTGCTTATTTATTTGTTTCTATTCTCACCTCCTCTTCGCTGCTCATGAGCCTGGCACATTTTCAGGAGCTGGGCTGCTCTTATATAATGTTGCGTCAAAATCCGTACAAAAGGATTTGGAGGAATCTGTGGCTGGAATCACCTTTGATCCCTGGATTCCCTTCTGATTTGTCTGCACAGCTTGTGTATGACACTGTGATGCTCTAGGGCATACTCTGCCGTGAGCATCCCTCGGGACCAGGCTTGATGTGGAGGATGAGGTCTGGTCCCAGCAGGTGTGGTCCTGTGCTGGCTCCCCTGGGCAGGCAGCTTCTTAAAAGAGCAGCATCTCCCAGCTCCCTGGGAGAGTATGGCCAGAGTTCAAGCCTGTATAATTGATGGTAATTATCCGGTTGAGGGAGTGGGTATGAAATGGGTTTAACTCATCTGAAATCCTCAGCCTGAGTCGCACTGAGCTGAATTCTCGGCTCAACAGACCTGCACCTGCATCCAGAGGATGCTTTCCCTGAAATATCTTTCTTCTGGGATGGTTTCTCCTCCATGTCATGGGCAGCTTTGTCTGTGCAAAGCCTCTGGCACCCTTGGAGAGATCATGGTGTGGACAAGGCTCACCACAGACCCACAGTGCTTTGGGTGCTGCTGTGAGCTGGTTTAAAGCAAACATGACCTTGGTATCTGCAATCCCATCTCTGGCTCACAGCACATGGAGCCAAAGTGGTGAAGCCAGGCTCTCTCCCACGCTGGTCTCCAGGCAGGTGTCTTTGGGGATAAATCACAAGTGTTTTGGTTTCAGTGTGCTGATAAATCTGAGAGCTGTGAATGATAACGTACACAATAGTGGGGTTTAGCCAATAAATTGGGCTTTTACGTAAATGCTTCCATATGCACGTATGCTGTCAGGAGGCAGGTGAGGCAGGAGAGTTGGAAACGTTAATCTATGGAGAACAGGGAGCCTTGGAAACTTGCCACTTTTGTTCCAGTCTCTGCTTTCTCCAGGAGCTTGGTTTTCTCCTTCTTTCGCTCTGTGTTTTACTTCACATGATTTTTTCTGCCCTTTAAAAACAGAAGCCTTGTTTGCAGTAAGAACAAACACCCTGCACATGTTTGAACAGCGGGTGAGATTCAGCCCAGTGCGAGACTGGGATTGGGTGAGACTTCAGCATTGCATCAGCTCTCGGTCAGCCAGCTGGACATGGGTGCTGATGTTAAACTTCTGCCTCCAAGAGGATGTGGGCATGGGCAGTCTGTTTCTTACATTTACAACGAAAATAAACTATTAGAAGAAGCATTCACCCCGCAGCCAGAACAGCTTTGATTATTCAAGGCTGCATTTAGGGTTCAAATATATCATTACATCTTGTTCCTGCCCTCCCATTCCCTTCCAGGGGATGTTAGCCACTGAGTTTGGTTGGTTTGGGTTTATTATAGAGGGGGTTGCAGAAATTAATGTGCTTTGTGGTAAAGGGAGAGGAGTGCAAACAAACTATGGGCAGAGAGTGAAGCTTGAGTGGATGTTACTTTGGACAGCGTGGCACATATGAAAAGGGAACACGTGTTATGAAGCAGAGAGGACTGTGCTGGTCCTTTCAGCTCAAGCCTTGAGCATTGTCATGTTGGATCCAGCTGCAGCAGAGGGATTGGCCTCATGTTGCCATCCAGACTCCCATCAGGCAGGACTCCTGGCCAGCCACTGTGAGAAATCCCACCGCAGCCCATTGCCACCAAGCTGGCACAAGCAAAGATGCACTCGGTGACAGGAGTCACACTGAAGTTGGAGTGGACACCCCGCACAAGGCTCTGCTGGTGTGAATCAGACCAAACCTTCTCATGGCACCTCCCAACACTCTCATTTAATTCTTCCAGCACGGGGTGAGGAAGAGATGGCTGCTCCTGGGTAATTCCATGCACCAATGGATTTACATCACAAGATTCCCAGGAAAGGAGGTTCTCTCTGGGCAGTGTATGGGGGATGCTTCACCCTATCTCCTGGCTCAGTGACCCCCCTCTGCTGAGCTGTGCTACCTTTGCTACTCTCCCAGTGCAACCTCAAGCAAGTGTTGGGTATCTTTCCTTCTTGGTAGCATGTAGGTCACTGCAGAGCCTTAGAGACCTGACAGCTGACATCCATCCTTGGTTGTGAATTTGTGCGTCAGGCTTTCTGGAGGCCATAGAAGTGCAGTTGCTGGTGAGACCAACTGCCTTTTGTGTGGCTTCAATTAAATGTCTTGGCATGGGATAGTTGCCAGAGCCCTCTTTTGTTGAAATAAATGGTTTTATTTAGATATATATAGAAAAAGTCCCACCTGGCCTTTTGGAAGGGTTTCAGCTGGAATGTAACAGATCCCATATTCTTCTATAAAAAGGTGAGCTGTATTTTTCATCTGAACTTTTTTCCCTTTTATAGTTGTGACTTGGCACACATGAGACATAAGTGGTGCAAGGTCACTGCCCTTCCCCTGATGAGGAAGTAAAGCCACAGCACGTGCTGGGGGCAGCTGCTGAGGACATACCCAGGGGGAACACAAGCTGTGGGCTGACCCCTGAGATCTGCTTGATGTTTGGGTCTGTATAGGAGCACTGGGGTGGCTCAGAGATCCCCAAAAGACTGCTGCGGAGCCTACCCAGCTGATGAGATGCCTTCACAGCCATGACGTTGGGTCATGCTTGGTCTTCACTGCTCTTTCAACCCAGGTTAACAGAAGCTTTCTCTGTATTTTAACGGCAGTGTAAGCATGTGCAACAGGTTAGAACAAGGCAAGCAGCCACCATTGCCTCTGTTTTCTTTCTTCCTGCACCCTCTTAAATTTTGGTTTCTCAGATGATGTTTTCCAGACCTGGGTGTTCTCCCTCATGAGCCATGCTTCCTGGTGCCCTTTATACCATGATGGTGTGCTTCAGTCCCTGCTGCCATCTGTGGAGGAGGAGGTGGTACAAGTCATCAGCTCTTTGCTGCAGTGTTATATTGCTTGACTGCAGTATATTTTAATTAATTAATTTGATTATTTTTATCAAGATTGCACTTATTTTTACAATGCATTTACTTACTATCAAGTGTGCAGTCTCTTCCCAGCCCCGGTTAGTGAAGTGACCTGCCCCATCTCATCCAGCAGGCGATGCCAGAAATGCTCCAGGAGCCACAGCATCTTGACCCAGCGTAACGTTTCCATGAGAAAGTGGGGAATGGGGATGAAATAAAGTCCAAAGAGATGTAAGTCAGTTGGTGAAACTGTGGGATTGCTGCTGAATTCCACAGGCCTGAACATGAAGGAGCAAGGAGGGACTGGGAATTCCAGGGGTGCAGGTCACCACAATAGGTGACCAGTCCTCATGTGCTCAGAGCTTGGCTATGTGGACAAGCTCATTTTTGTTTGGTGTTTTTTATTGTGCTGTAATTAATATGGAAATTGTCATATATGCCCAGGCAGGATGACCACGCATCCCTGTGCTTTTACTGACCCTGCTCTGGATGTGGGATGTCCCTGGCTCCCGCTGGGAGTGCGAAAAGATGCTTTAAATCCTCTGCTTGCTGATCCCAGGTTCTCCCAAGCACAGCTTTTAAATGCTGGGCCATCAACTGCTTGATTAATTAATGCTCTTCTGTTTCACTTGTTTGACGACGATGTTCAGTGATGTGACTGAACCTCACCTCCCAGGGTGGAGACAGTCTCATGCACTGAAATGGGCTGGACATGTATTTTTAGTAAAGCAGTATTTTCAGCTCAGGATTTGAAGTTTCTGGTCATTTCCTTGTCCCTTTCTGAGTCACACATCAAGTTTTGTCTGTTTATTGCAGATGTTGAAGGTTACAATAATCTGGAAGTTAAGTGCACAGCTTTTGGAGGGAAAAGGAAGGGAGCAGCAGGATGAGGTATCTCATCGGCACCAGGCACATCAGCTTATGGCAAAACTTCCAGGTAGCTCCAGTTTATATTAGAAATAATGCATTGAAAAGGCACATGGCAGGATTTAAGGCCATTCCATATTATTGCTTGGCTCATCTGAAAGAGGTGAGAGATCAGCCCTGTTTTCCTGGTCTGGAGATGAGCACAGCAGGGCTGTCTATCTCTCTGTCCCCCGAGGCTCTGCTGGCTCATGGCACCAGAGGGGCCAGGGGCTGCAGCACTCACAGTGAGCCAGAGTGCCCTCCTTTGCTGCTCTTCAGCAAATAATTCCTCCTGTGGCTTCTTGCCTCTGCCTGCAGGCAAGGATTTAAGCCAGAAATGTTGTCAATTGTGTTTGTCCTGCCAGCTTCAGCTCACCTTGGAGGTGTCAACCCTGCAACGGTGTTTAACCTGCAGTGCATCTCCACAGCCTCCCCAGCAGGCTACTGGCACGCTGGGCTTGTGCTGCAGTGCTAGAAGGGAGCAATGTGGTTGTGGTTTGATGTTTCCTTGCCCTGCTTTGTGTTGGAGCAGACCTGTATCCCCTGACAGGACCCACTATGTGAGAAAATGCTCGCTGTTGGAGCAGAGGAGCTGCTGGGAAATCTCTGTCCCAAGCTCAGCAGCACCAGTTTGCTGCAGGCAGGAGCAAGCTGAGCTCTCACCATTAGGCAATGTGTTCTTCCCGCTCCAGTGGGTCTGTGCTTAACTCAGCGTCAGTCAGAGGAAGAGGACACGTGTGGGGACAAGTGTGTGTGGTAATGCAGGACCTTCCCAAAGTGTCAGGCTCTTGTGCTGGAGAGAACCAGACAGGCTGTCGGGAGCGCTGAGCATCAAAGACACCGAGTGGCTTCTGGAGCTTCAGGGTTGGGTTTCTTCTCCCTGGGGGTGCATCCCAGGCCATAAAGGCCCCATTTCTGACCCATGGGGTCCACTGCCTGAGGATGGGAGCAGCAGGGATACAGGGACTGCATGGCAGCAGAGCTATCCCAGCATGGTGCTGACTGCCTGTTCCGTCACTCACCCCAGCTTTGGGAACAACAATTTTTGCCGGAGGGATGGCTGCGAATCCCTGCAGAGCTCTGGGTGCCCCCACCTCTCCCTGGGGATTTCAGAGCCTGTGGGATCGTTTGGCAACCCGAAAGAAGATTTCCCGCTGGCCCTCTGAGAGCAGCACATCCAGCTACCTCCCATCCTCCTCTTGGAGGAACAACAAACTTGACAATGAAAATGGAAGCTGACAACAGCACTAATTGCTTGAGAGAGACGGCATGGAAGCCTGGGGCCAGGGGGATGGCATATCACAGGGTTTTAAACCTGCAGCTGAGTGCAGAGTGGGGTGTTTTGCCAGCTCAGAAGGAAGACGGGAGCGGGCTCTGTGCTGAGCCAGGGCATACACTGCACCGGTGGGATTATAGAAGCAGCACAAGTTGAGCTGGTAAATTACAAAATGCCATGCTTGAGGTCTGTTATATAACGTGCCTTTACAGAACCTGGGAGCTAAATATAAAAGAGAGTTACGTTTTGGGCTGGTGTAAAACCATGCTCCAGAACAGGTTTGTGTGGGAAGGAGTGCTCTGCAGCACCGCAAGAAGCGGAAAGGATTTCGGGACCCTGGGTTTGCTCCCAGCACTTGTTTTCTCTCCAACCTTGCAAAGAGCATGTACTGCCCGTGTCTCAGCTTCCCCCTCTTCAAATGAGAAACAATAAAACCTCCATTTCCTTGCAGCTGCATTGTCAAGATTAATTCGTGTTTGCAAAGTGACCTGAGAATCTATAGAAATCTGAACAGTATATCATTATCCCGATCTAAACTTGGCATAAGATACCAGCAGGCCAAATTCTCCTCCCACGCTGGAGAAGGGGTTGTGTCAGCATAGCCGAGAGGAAAATTCCAGCCTCTGTTCCTAACCAACAAATCCAGAGGAAAATAGCCTTTTCAAGCCGAGACCATTCTGTTTTCCTTGAGGAAATTCCCCCCTTCATTAGCTCTAGGCAGAAGGATCAGCTCCTACACAAACTGGGCAGGTGACAAAGCCAGGAGCATCTCCTGTGCGAAATGCAAACAGGAGCAGAGCAAAGTAGAAATGCAGAGGGATGCTGTATGTGTTGGGATCCAGCCTGCTTGGCAGTGATTTGGGGCTGTTTTGTGGTTCCTTAACTCCTGCCCTTTTCCTCTTCAGCTGTATTTTCACCACCAAGCTCAGCATGGCCCCAGCTTTGCTCAAAGGATGCAACCTGGCTGGTCTTCCTTCTCCTTCCTCTCTGCACACAGATTGAAGACTGCAGTCATAGAAGAGCTAGATGGGTTTTCAGGTCTGGTTTGACTACTCAGTTTGGGGGCTTAAAGAAGCCAGGTGCAGACTCAAGGACAGCTGAAGCATGGGATGTCAGAGGAAAGCCTGGCTGGGATGAGCAGGGAATTGTGCTGCCACAGTCTTGCTCCATAGTGATGGAGAGACACAAAGACTAAGGTAGGATCAGCCTACCTCAGCTTCTCTCTCAGTCTAGAGAGAACAAGGGGCAGCTAATGAAGGGTGCAGGGAGCAGCTCACCTGGATTCACATCAGCCACTCATTCTCCCTCCAAACTCCATATCCTATCCATGGGTTGCCTGCAAATGGGAGAAGGGGAGACTGCTCCCTTCCCTGTCTTTTGCTAGCACAAGGATGATATAGAGCATCATGGTCCCTGAGCAGAGGCTGATATGGGGATGTAAGAGCCCCAGGAAGCCTTGTCATCCTCCTTACAGCCCTCCCTGCTGTGCAGTGCGCACTGGGAGCTGTGTCTTACAGCCCATGCTTTCGGCCAGGACCTGACCAAAGAGAGTGTGCAGCCCCTCCAGGTACAATGTGTGGTCTCTTAACACCACCTGATCAGCCAGGCCTGATCCTGCTCCTGAGAAACCCATTGAATGGCTGGAAAAAATGTTTTCTGACAGGGTGGAGATATGCAGGGGAGTTGCCAAGCAACTGGCGAAGCTCCTTTCCTCCCTCTGAGCAGTGAGCAGGCAGGGGATGGCTGCATCCCTGCATCCCTCTGCCTGGCCAGCCCAGTGCTGGTATCCCAGGGGAGGTACCAACAGGGACTGGGAAAAGCAGGGACTGGGAAAGGCAGGGACTGTTCATGGCTAGTGGGAGAACGATGCTTTTAGCCAGTGGGAATGACCATTCCTGCACACCGAACCCATTGCAAATCACTGTCAGCAGCAGGGTTAGAAAGAGGCTTTCTCTTCTAACCCATTTCTGAGCTGAGCAGCTTCCTTTTGAACTAGTCCTAGAAATGTGTGCTAACACATGGAGCAAACACCCAGGAGGACTCATTATAACCCGAGTTTCATTAGTGTCACCTCTGCATTTCCTTGGGAGTTGCTTCAGATTTACACTAAGAGAAATATGCAGCCCAAACCTTTGGGATTTTCTTTTCTAAAGCTTTAATTTAAATCAACTCTTGAGTAACAACAAAAATCAGCTGATGTCCCTCATAAAGCCTTGGACCCACAGCAAGGGGCATGAGGCAACGCTTAACGGGAGGGACTCAACTGATAGCTGCAATCTTGCAAAAGATAGTTGCTGAGTGAATGGCAATAAACAGCAAATCCAGCCAGCTCCTAGAAATGGCAAATGGACCAGGCTGTTCAGAACAATCTGTTCCTTCTCCAGAGAAGGGCTGCGGTGCTGGCGGCAGCCTGGGAACGTGGCTATTCTCGGCATGAGCTGGTCTGAAACTCTGCCTCAGAAAAATGGCAGGGCCAAGACAGGCTCATTACAAGGAGACACGTCCTAAATCAAAGCAGTCTGCAAGTGGCTTTGATGGGCTGACTCTTCTCCAGGGAGGCTTGTGCTGAAGGAGCCCTGCTCTGCCTTGTCCCATGGCCCTGCTCGCTGCTGGGTCTATGGCTTTCTGCTCTGGCTGATGCTTGAGCAGGAAAACCCTGTTTATCCACCTTGTTTGGCTGTGTTTGGCCATGCAGTTTACTGTCTCATACCATCACCTACTTAATCAGGCATTAACATCACTAACCCAGAAGGAGAGCAGCTGGTGCACCCAGTTTCTTGCCCACTGCTACAATTGCTGTGGGAAGAGGACACCCCAGCGTGCCCAAGCTTCTCCCATAAAGCCAAAAGTGAAGAGACAGAAAGGCCTGGGGCTGTCCATATCAACAGCACACTGGGCTGCACCTCGGGTCCAATTCCTCCAGGCATATTTGTTTCAGTTTTCTTGCTTTCCTTGGGGCTTGTGGGCTCCCCCAGGGTTCTTTCCTCCTGTGCCCAACCCAGCGATCAAGTGGCCTTCATTTGGTTTGGAAAAGAAAAGTAAAAGATAACCTGAATGCAGATGGTGCAGAACATCCGTGCAGCAGTTTAATTAATTGCCTTTAAATGTTAATCCAAAATAGTTTCCCTGAGTGATCTTATATAGGCAAATCCTCAGTTGCCTTAAGCCACTTGCAGAGTGAGTTCAACTAGTAAGGTATTCTTAGTCCTGATCAAGAGCATTGCACGGGACGGTAATCAGGAATGATTAATTGGAAATAGCTCTTCTAAACCAGGCTGTACCTGCTGTGCTCTCCTGTGCTGCCCAGCTCTGCCCAGAGCTGACACAAAGCTGTTTGCATTTTGTGGGGACGGAATTTTCCTTCCCAATTCCCCCCATGATGTCCTGCTTTCCTAGCCACAAGCCACCCTCTCACCTCTCCTCCCAGTGCTCTCCATCTACATCTGGCACAGACCATTTCCAGCACAGCATCTAGATTTGCCAACAGACATTCCTGGGGAAGAATGGGATCTGGGAGGTCACGGTGGGAATTTATTAGCTCGGCTTGTACTTGGAATAGCCAAGTGTCCTGCCAGACTTTCAGAGCTATTGCTTTGCACATCCCACCCCTAAACAAAAACCCAACCTCCTAATTGGGTTTTATGCTGTAAAATGGCTGCATCCCTCCAAACCTGCTGGGGGATCAGCAGCCCTGCTCAGTGTTACTTTGTGAGGCTTTGCCTAAATCACAAGCAAACCCCCATATTACCTACACAGAGAATCCCGTCCCAGTCAGGCAAGACCCTGTGTGACAGCAGCTTCTGCGATAGCTCTGTCCTTGAGTCCTCTGTTCTCTTCTCTTACTCTAGCTAAAGTTGTCCCTCCTGCAGCAGATGAGTGTTTGCTGCATGCCAGGTTTGACCTCAGGCCAGTGAAATGTTGTGAGTTCTTTTCTTGCTTTCAGCATGTCCTCAGCTATTTGGCTTCTGTGTTTTCCCAAACCCCGCGGCTGCAGCCTTTGAGCAGTAATTTAGCACGGTGTACCTGCTGCAGGTGAAGTTAGCATAGACAGATGAAGCAAATCCATGTCATTAGGCCCTGCTGGAGGGGCTGAGCCTGCAGTGGAAAAGAGTTTTACTTTCCCAAAGTCAAGCCCTGGGGAGCTTGCTCCTAAAATGACCCATTAAAAACCACCAAGTAACGCCACAGAGTCGGTTCCCTGCTGGAAATCACATTTTGCTTGGTGTCAGCAATTCAGAAGAGACCCATCTGCAGGAAATTATGATGACAATTTCCTCTCTGAGTGAAGAGGAATTACAGCTGTAATCGAGGAGGCAGTGAACAGCCTCCCCTCTCCTTGCTTAGTACCGATTCCTCTTAAAACTTAAAGCCATATGTAGAAACATCTCTACCCCATCCCGCTACCTAAAGGCCATTGCTGCTGCACTCACAGTCTGTCAGGGAAAACATACCTAGAGGTGAAAACCAGTGACTTTTGTGCTATTTTGTCATCTCTAATGATAGATATGATGTATATGCACTTGTTATTTTTACACTGTAGACTTCCAGTGTGAGAACGGTGTCCTGCTGCGTGCTTGTAGAGTCTCTGGCGCATTTGGCTTTGATTTTGTTGAGATTTTAAGTGTTAAATCAGGAAAATTGCATCAGATATTTGCAGTATTGTTGCAGATGCTGGGCATGAGAGCCTTTTCTCCCTGAAGGGTGTGTGCTGAGGACAGGCAGGCAAGGAGAAGTGATATCATGCAGGGAGAGAATGGCTCAGCTTTTGAGGATTAGATGGTGTGTATTTTAATAAACCTTTTCTGTAACAAACACACAGAGCAAAACTCAGGCCAGTTGCGAAAGGCTGTAGGTCTACAACTCTCAATGCATTTGCAATCCTTTTAGGACCAAAACTGCATGAAGGTTGGTATGGTTCATGCACATATGAAGATAGCCGTTCTTCAGAGGAAAGAACTAAAACCTGGGTAGAAGATGTGCTCATGGGGGGCCATTCGCAAGCCAAGTCTTGATAAGGTAAGACCATGACGCCAAGGGATCACTCTAGGTCCACGAGATAACATTTCAGCAAAGGTGGACCTAGTGTGTGCCTGAATTTGGGACCTCTTCTATAAGGTTTTGCCATTGGATTCCTGTCTGAGAGGATCTTTCCCCATCCTCAACTGCCTTAGCAGTTGTGAGCATCTTCCTGCACCTCCCAGCACTACTGCTGGAGCTGATGGGAGTTGATTAAGATTTAATCCAGGCTTCTAGAGGAGGGAAAAAAGAAAGTTTTGACAGTTCCATATATAGTCCTCTGACTCACAGATTTCATGTGTCAAACACCAAAGACGGGTTAAGTAGAATTAAGTTCTGGATTTGTTATAAATAGGCATTAGGTAACATGAATGTATTAAATTTGCATGAAAATATGGGCCTTATTCTCTGGCTTACCCCAGAGATCTTCTTGGACGTCAATGGGATGCTCAAAAGATGAGCTTACATCAGAGTCAGCCCAGTTCTGGCTGTCCCCTGCCGCCACCATTTCACTGGATCCAGTGAAATGGGGAAATCATTGCTGAAATCGGGAAGGATTTGTGCTGCTTGCAGAGCTCAGAATTTTGCCCTTAAAACACTACAAATAGTTTTAATTGGACCCCAGATCTTCAGCTGACGGAATAATTTCTTCATGTCAATCAGTGCTAAATGTACCTGTTAAATCAGGGAAGATGGGTTAAGTGAAAATTGCATAGAAAGTCACTTTTCTTCTGTTTTTTCCCAGAAGACAAAGATTTGTTGGATTCAGATGTTACAGACTATCTCATCCTGCTCTGATTACTGTTCTGCTCAGCCACAGCTTAAAGGTCCATCCAGACAATGAAGTCACCCTCACTCGGAGCAAGTCTGACAGCTGAGCATTGTTTGGGTGAAAACAATCTCCTTTAGTAAAATAAATGAGTGTGACAGACAGAGACTCTACCAAATCAGAACCCTCCTCAATAGTTTAATTTACTGACTTGCTCATTGCTAAACAATTGAGAATTGGTCTATGGAGAAGGAACACAAAACAGACAGATAATATGGGCTGTGTTTTGAGGTTGGACTAGTCCAAGCCAAGGGAAAGCAGGCTTTTGAGCCATTCAGCAGCATTGTTTCTAGGAAAATAATGACCACTGCTGCAGCTCTACCTTTACTCTGCCTGGAGGTTTGGCCTTATTTCTGCTGAGGGTGAAGAGAAGCAAACTGGAGACAAGGGGACCTGCAGTATGACACAGCCAGGGCCACCGAGACAGAGTGACTTCATCCCTGGAGAGGTTGCTGTTACTATCCCATGGAGCTGTCAATCATGCAGGAACAGCATTAAAAACTCTGGGAGCTTCCCTGGGCCCCTGTGGGTTCCTCAGGCTCTGGCGCCTTCCCAGTGTTGCTCTGCCCTTGGTTGAGATTTTTCTTATCTAACATCACATTCTGCTTTTTGCCATGAAAATCATTTCCAATTAAATGCATCCTCAGAGCCCATCTGGCTGTGAATTAGCCTGGAACTTGATGGCTGGCTTGTTAGCTCATCAAAGTCTCCAGGCTAACAGGGATGGGCAGCCTCAGGAGTGATTGTGCTGGCTGGGGATTTTGCTCATTGCCTTGAACTCACCGCAGCCCTGCAAACTGGGACACAGCTGCCCTTTGCTCACCTTCAGCACTTCTCTATTCCCCTTCATCCCGCAGCTGAGTAAGCAGCACCAGGACTACAAAACACAGCCCTGCTGCAGCCTCCAGCTCTATCTCATGCTTCTGCCCTCCAGGGATCACAGGGTTTGCTGAGTCCCTGGGAAGAAGCTGGGCACACGCTCCAGCTTATGAGGAAGGGATTATCATAGCTCTTGGGATTCAGCCCACAGCTCCCCTGTGCAAGGAAAGGAGAGAAGCGGATATGAATCCTTAGTTTGTTCCCTATATTGGTTCTGTCTCTGTCCCCACGTTGGCAGTGCCTGTTCTCCCAATGACAGGCATCTCCAGGGTGTCTGGGTGCTGAGGCAGTGGCAGTGATGTCATGATTGCTGCTTTTCCATGAGCAAAACAGATTGCAGCTAGGTATGAAGTCCAGGGAGCTGGTTGCAAGGAAGCAAAGGGAATGGTAACTCTTTGGCTCTTGACAGCAAAACCCTGGGTTCTGCTTTCCAGTTAGAGCAAAAGGCTTCAAAGTCCCAGCTTATGGGATGATTGAAACATTCAAAGGGAAGCAAGAACCAGTAAAATGAGGGTTTCTGCTTGCTGTGGACACACAGCCAGGGAGATATCAGAGCACATGCTTCAGGGCTGGTTTTGGGGCATGGAAACCCCTTTGGTCCATGTAATGGGGGCTCCCAGCATTCCTCTGGCCACCCTCCTTGGTGATGGTTCCCGTGGAGAACACTTCCACATTGTGGTGTGATGTTGCTGTCATGGCAACCGGGGTCAGAGCGGTACCCGCCCTCTGATGGGTTCTTACTGCTCCTGTGCTTCCCACTGGAAATAGGGCTGTTCTTGGGGAATAACTGACTGCCATCGTGGTCCTGCCCCCTGGCTGGAGAGGAACTGCAGCATCCTGCAGCAGGGTGAGCAGCATTGCGGGGTACAGGGGAGCCTGGATGGCTGCAGTGGGGCTAGGGGGAGGGCCAGCTTTGGGGGTGAGGGCTGAGGGGTTGGCCCCAGTGCTGCAGAGGGATGGGGGCTGCATCGAGGCAATGTCCCTGCTCATGCTCCCAGGGGACTCTGCCTGCTGGCACAGGGGGTCTGGCCTCACTGAGATTTCTATGGAAACCCAGGTACTGAATGGGATGGAATAGCTCAAGCCATCTGTTCTTCCCCTACTTATAAACTGGATAAGAGGAGCGTGCTTCGTGATGACATCCCTACACATGTTCTCCTTTTATTCATTGTGCAGCCATCTGTGATGGTTTCCTTATGTGCCAAAACACCCGAAGGACACGATCATACAACCAACCCCTTACCCAGCTTTTGTTTCTCCCCTTGGAAAGCAGGCCTGTCCCCGTGGAGGCTCTATCTTCCCCTTCCCAAGGTGCCTGCAGTGTGACTGCAGAATTAGCTGGAAGAAATGAGGAAGTCAAAGGTAAAAACTGAAGCACAAACCAAAGCTAAATTGGATCTGCCTTAGGGATCTTCCCTACAGAAAGAAATGCTGCGGTGCAGTGAGCTGGGTGGCCGGTGGGGAGGGAGCCAGGCTTTCTTTTGCTAGCAAGGTGTTGGGTTGTGCTGGGTCTGATTCTGCTGGGGATGAGTCCATGGCCTGATATTTGGGTGCTGGGGAAGGCAGGGTCGGGAGATAACACCTGAGGACACAGGCAGTGGTGGATCTAAATGCCACAGCTTCAGTGCTTACCTGTTGGGCAGTTTCTCAGCTAGAAGTCACCTTCCCACAGCTGGGGATGTGAGCACTCCTGCTCCACTCCTGGGCAAAGCTGGGTTTGTTCACATCCCCAGCATGGGGGGGTTTGCTCTGAAGTGGCTCAGACCCACTTACGGGATTGGTTTATGTGGCTCTGGTTTTGGTGCTGACACAGAGCTGGAGGTGATGCTGTTAACCCACTCCCCTGTGTCCAGCTCCACTGTCTACCAGCAAGTGCTGGTTGCATTTGCTCAAGTGACCAAACTCTCTCTCTCTGTGTGACAGAGGCAAGGACACTCCTCGAAGCAGGACCTTTCAGATGAGCCTGTGAAGCTGTCAGAAAGGATGGCTGTGTCTGAGATCAATAGACTGCAGAAACAGTTTCGAATAGCAGCAGAGAAGAGGAAGTCTTACAGTACCAACCTGAAACAGCGAATACTGGCCCAGGAGTGAGTTCAGCTTCACTCAGCTTCATTGTGCTTGGAAAGCTCCTCTGTGCTGAGATCTAGGGACCCTGGTGCTGAGATGGAGGGCGGGTGTAAGACCTGCTGTGGTGTTGTAGATGGGATGTGCTAAATGTAATTTGTGGTTCTGTTTTTACAGAAAAGAAATAGAATCTCTGACTCAAGAACAGAGAAAGGTGTCACTAACAAGAGGCCAGATCATGTCCCTGAAAAATAGGATGCTGGATGACAGAAATCGCAAAGAGGCCCAATACCTTTTGCAGATCAGACATCAGTATGATTGTCTGATTAGAGAAAGAAAAGCAGCGTTAGCTGTCCTGGACAGCCAGGTAAGAACATCTGGACTGTTTCCTGCTGAGCATGGTACAGCAGAGCAGAGTCACAGAGTGAGCCCTGGAGCTGAAATGCTTCAATGTAAAATGCATTTAGTTCAGGTCTTGGAACATAATGCTGCCTCCTGGCAAAAGACACATGACAATGACAGATGGATAGAGCTGTTCAAGTCAGCAGTGCTGGCTGGAAAAGTAAGGTCTGACCCTCAACCTTGCTGTCCTAGTCTCTGCAGTTCCTCTTTGACGGCACACACCTGCCTGGGGTCAAGCAACATCCCTTTGCTTTCCCCTTGACTTTTCCTCCTGAAAAAGAGGCAAAAATGGAACATTAGTTGTGCTGCCTGAGACGTGGCAAATAGAGGAGCAGCAGCACCTGCAGGATGTACCATTACTTCTCCTCTGGGCAGCCTGGTTGGGTTTGCTCTGAGGCCAAGGGAAACCTAGTGCTACAGAAGTGACAGGTCCTTGCTGCTTTCTGCTCTGAACAAGTTGCCCCTGACAGAAATCAGGGAACATGCTCAAATGGTTTATGGTTGCTATAGGTGCTGCAGAGCTTTCCACACCAGGGTTAGCTTTCAATCAGGGATCTCTTGGCTGAATCATACCTCTCCCACGTGCTCCCTGCTTCGTTGTTTGCCAACTGCTTTATTTTTCTCCTGGATTTATTTCCTCTGGCAGCTTCTCACTTCTGGAAGAAGTTTTTCTTTTTTCTCCTCTCAGTCCCAGGGAGGACTGCACAGATCCCTGTCTGGCCAGCACAATGCGACTACCAAAACCCCATCCTCATTGCCTCTTCCACTCGACGCAGAGTGCTGCTGTGCCTTGTCCCACACCTGCTGACTTTCCCTCCAGAGGCAGCTACATTTCCTTCATGACATGAAAATAAACCCATTCCTAGTTACAGTTGATGTTTCTGCATGTGCAGCACGGGATCCTTTGGGATTAAAGCTGTTTCTATAACTGTGAGCTCATGAATGACATGGTTGCTGTAGTTCAAGTCAACAGAGGGTATTTTCTTTGGCTAAGTGTCCTGACAAGAGTCCAGAGCACAGGGGTGGAGATTAAGCTTTCCTTTTATTATGATCATTATTATTTTTAACCTGTATTGCAGATAGAAGAGCTGGAAAAAAAGGTTGTGATGCAAAACCTGATAGCAAGGAAGGTGAAGCAAGCGAACCGTAGCAAACAGCTGCAGAAGCAGATCGACACACTGGAGACGTGTCTGTACAATGTAAGCAAAGCTGTTGCAGACCTTTGGAGACCATGTGTGAAACCCACTTTTTAGGAAGGACAAAGGGCAATGGTGCAAACGCATTTGGCTGACCTTATCTGCATAAAGGACGTGGCTGTTGTCCTGGCCTGATTGCTCCCAGAATATCTCAAAGGCTCCTTCAAACTTTGTGACCCAAATGCAGCACTTGTGCCATGCTGAGAAGCCTGAAGGTCTGCACCTGTGTAGTGATAAAACCAAGCTGCCTGAAGCCACCTTGCTTTGGACAATGCCAGCTCCAGGTCTCTGTTGTGACTGGCCTGACTTACTGCTGCCTCCCCTGTCTTGGGGAGGATAGTGCAGGGCCCACTTAAGATCTCTTAGACTGCTTGTACTAAGTCTAGTCAAGGTCTTTCAACAGAAACCTGAGTCCTATACCAGCTTCAAGCTTTTTGCATCTCTCTTCCCAGGCCAATGTCCATTTCAATACCATCCTGGCCAAAAATAACAAGCTTCAAGAAGAGATTGAAAGCCTGCAAATCCAGAAAGCTGTTTTGGACAACTCCTACTTCAAGCTCCATACAAAGCTGGAGCAGCAGAAGAAAAGGATGAACACTGCTGTTAAGCAAACCACACAAGCCTATGAGCAGCTGTACGTGGCCTTGAGAACCCTGTGTGGCAAACTCAGCACTAAGAGGCGA